ACGCGGGGCCTCACCGGCTCTCGGCCGCCCGCTCACTCTCCTCCCTGGCCAGCGTCATGTCGGCCTCCAGCCGGCGGACGACCCGCTCGATCTCCTCGTCTCGGCCTCTCCGGACCTCCTCCTTCAGCTCCCGCTCCCGGCTCAGCAACCATGCTTCCTGGCGGGGAGGCAGGGGGCTCAGTGGGCTGGCTGAGGGTGGCGGAGGGAGGCTGAGGGAGGCCAAGGGCCAGGAGGGCCACGTGGGCTCCCAGGACACCCGACAGGGGGGATGGAGTGGCCTGCCCCTGCCCCAGGCCCCACCTGTCCGCAGGGGTGGGGCCGGGCCGTCATCAGGGGCATAAGCAGGAGCTGTCAGCACAGCCTGGTGCTTCTCCCCAACCCAGAGACCCGGGACAACACGATGAGGAATGTCTGCTGCCAGACGGACCCTCACAATAAAAGGGACCTCATCTGACTGCCGAGGGTGGGAAGGCAATTTTAAAACTTCCATCAAGTTTAACATGCTCACGTCTGCGAACAGACCCCACAGATACAGTGACCCTCCATGCACTGCTAGGGCGGGGACAGGGTGGCTGCTAGGCCACCGCTCAGGTTTCGTCGCCAGGCTGATGCCTTGCATGGGACCGTGTCCTCTCCGCCATGGCCTCTTCCATTAGAGCAGGAGAGCCTGCCAGCGCAGTCCACCCCCGGAAGGCCAGAGGGGACAAGGAGAGGCCTGACCCCACCTGTGCCCCTCACACTGGCTGCAGGGTAGCCTGTCAATTTTGAGAGCAGCTACCTGGACAAGGGGAGGATGAGGAAAATACCCCACTGTCCCATGGAACCTGCTCCAGCCCCCTCGTCTCCCCTGCTTCCCTCTAGCAGGACAGAGGCAGCACATTCAAGCAGGGTCAGAATCACACCGCCCACCCACAGGCACCCAGGCAGCCACAGCAGCCTGGGTAGCTGGGGGTGCTGGGCAGGAGGGGAGGGAGGGAGGGAGGGGAGGGAAGCCCCCACCCCCCAGCCCAGCCACACCCGCCTCCCACCTCCTTCTTGGCGGAGTTGGCCTCCCACATCTGTTTCTCCACCTCCAGCTGGTCCTTCAGGGCCTTCAGCTCCATCTGGGGACGGATGACGGTGTGAGAGCGGGCCTTGTGGGCCACTCCGCACCCAGAGCCTGTCTGCCGGGGGGGCCTGGACGGGGCCTGCGGTCAAGCTGGGGTCTGTGGGGAGCTGGCTGGGCAGACCAGTCGTGGGGACACAGGCTCGCCCAATGCTCTAAGCGGCTGCCAGCCCGGCAGGTGGGGGCCAGCCCCGGTGGCGGCCCCTCCCCTGCAGTGTGGGTGCCCCGGGCTGAGCTGGGGGGCGGGGGCAGGGCCGACCCGGTGCCGGCGCTCCTGCTCCTCTCTCCGCTTCTCAAACTCAGCCCGTAGGGCCCGGCCCCCGGCCGAGCTGCTCTCCTCCAGCTGCTGCCTCAGCTCCTCCAGCTCCGCCCGCTGCCTGCAGGAGAGCACGGGTCAGTCCGCAGCGACGGTGGCGGGTCGGCTGCGTGGGTCCGGGTCGTCCCCCGGGGCACCTGGCGGCCTGCTGGCCCAGCCGCTCCTTCTCCTCGGCCACCTCGCTGTGGAGCCGCCGCCGCTGCTGCTCCAGGGCCCGCTGCTCCTGCTCCAGGTGCTGCTCGAAGCTGCAGAGGGACAGCAGGACCGGCTCGGGGGCAGCTGGCCCAGGGAGGGCCTCACACCCAGGGTTGCGGGGTCCACGCTGGCAGAGCGTGTCCCTGGGAGCTGAACTGCTGGGACAGCTGCAGCTGCCCCGGGGAGGCCGCCGCACCCAGCCCTGCGTCCCGCTGTCCCCCTCCCTGTCTTCTCTGTCCCCTGAGGGCGGCCATGGGGAGGTGCTCTTGGCCCTGGGGGTCCGGGCACACCCCAGCTCTGCTCTGGCCTCGCCCCACCCCCATGTCCCCGGGGTAGGGGGGCCCACCGCTGCTGGGCACGCTCCCACTCCTGCCGGCCCAGCGCCTCCTTCTCCCGCTCCAGGTGCTGGCGGAGCTCCTCGGCCTGGCGCCCGTAGCGCTCGGCCGCACGCTCATCCGCCTGTAGCAACTCGGCTGCGTGCAGGCTCTTGAGCTTCTTCACCTCCTGCTTGTGCCTGGCGATCAGCTTCTGGATCTCGGGCTCCAGGCCTGGGGGGACACCGTGCTGCAGGGACCCACCCCCACCACTGCGGGGTCCTGCCCCTCCTTCCTGGGCTGGGAGGGACCCCCGACCTCTGCCCACTGTGACACCCCGGCCGCTAGGGGGCCCCGGGGGGCTCCAGCATGGAGCACAGCTGAGCCCACTGGGGCTACAGCACATCTCCCTGCCTGGGGCACCATGGCTACCCCCTTGGCGCTCCGGGCCGTGGGGTCTCCCCATGGAGAGGGGGTTACTGGGGCAGGAGAGCCAGGCATAGACGGGCACAGCTGGGGTTGTCCCATTGGCCCTCGGAGGGCTCTCTACATGGGGGAGGTGCGACCATGCAGCAGGCAGGCAGCTCCCAACGCGAGCCCCCACCCACTCGCCCCCTTGGAAGCTGGAGGGGAGCCCGTCCAAGGGCCGGCGAGGCCCCCCACCTAGACGGGGCCCTTGATGCTGGTCTACAGCCAAGCTCGAGTGCCCCCAGCTCCCCCGCTCCTGGTGGCCTCCCCGGCCGGGCCACACCCCTGAGTCTCAGTGCTTCCCGGGAAGCCCCTCCCCGTGCGCGCCGCTGGCGCGGCCCTCACCTTTGACGGTGATCTCTTTGATCTTCCGGGTCTTCTCGCTGATCCACTTCTCCCTGCGGACCTTCTCGGTGGCGCTCATCAGTTCTTTGAGCTTCTTGATCTCCTGCCAGCGAGAACACAGGAGTCAGCAGAGGAGCTGTGGGAAGTGGGAAGATGCAAGGACAGCCCCCCAGCCTCGGTCACCCCCGACGTTCAGGAGGTGCCTTTCAACAGTGACCACGGGCAAAGCAGGAGGCACCAGGGCTGCAGCACTCGTCTGACGGAAGCCGGTCCCTCTGCCCAGGGTCCAGAGCGGGGGCCATCACCTCCTCTTCAGGGACACGAGAGGGGTCACACAAGCCCCTCGGCCCTGCCCCGGGGTCTGGCACCCGTGGGGTGGCAGGAAGCAGCTCCAGTGGAAGGAGGGGACAGAGCACGGTGCCGGGCTGGCCCCTCCCCGGCTGGCCCGCGGGATGGCTCCAGCCAGGCGGTGCAGGCCCAGACTTCCCCGTGCAGGCACACCGGGTCTGGGGTCAGCGGGCAGAAGAGCAGGGGGCTCACCAGCTCGTGCTGCTCCTGCATCTGGGTCTCCCTGTCCTTGCGCCTCTGGTCCCCCTGCTTCAGCTCGGCCACCAGGGCCTCGCACTTCTCACCCAAGGCCTTCTTGTCCTCGATCAGCTACGACCAGGGGTGGAGGTGAGGTCAGGAAACCCTACCTACCTCTCCTCGCCTGGGAGGCCAGCACACCAAATCCTGCCCCCTCCCAGGTCTGTAGGGGACCCTGGGTCCAAAAAGGTGTGCATATGGACAAAGGGCTTGACCCCTTCCTGAGGGCCGGCTGGTGTCAGCGGAGCCGGGCAGAGTGGGCACCTTGGCTACTAGCCCCCAACTGTGGCCATGTCAGGAGCCTCCAGGGGTGGGGGTCATCCTGTTGACCCTGTCATCCAGCCTGAGAAGGGCCTGCTTGTCGCCTAACAAAGGGTCTCGGTGAAGTCCCCAGGTGGCACCCAGCCTCACCGAGGGGTCCAGGCAGACCCCCTGTTTGGAAACACCTATGACTGCGAGGCGGCGTGTTGAGGCTGCTTGGTTCCTCTGGGCTCCCTCCTCTCCTCACAGACCCCACACCTGGAGCTCTCCTTGGAAAAGGACCTGACGGGGCCCAGCCGAGCACAGGTGGGCTGGAAGCCTCCACCAGTCCCTGTCGAAGGAGCTCCAGCTGCCCCAGCAGCGGCCTCCCCGGGACAGCACACCAGGAAGTTCAGGGTGTGTGTCCTGCTGGCAGCCCCCCAGTGGCCGCCAGGGGACCAGCCTGTCCTCTGAGTGACCCCACGTAGCCGGACCCCACTGGGGGGTGTGCTCTGCCCCTCTGCCCCTGCCACCCGCCACGCTGGGCCTGGGAGCACAGCTGTGGGTGGGCGGAGGGCTGGGGCACTGGGGGAGCCTCGCTGGGGGGGGAGGGGAGGGCAGCACTCGCTGGGGCTGGTTGCCCCAGAGCAGCCCGGCGAGCAGTCGACACCTGGCCCCCATAGGGGAAGACGCTGCCCGTTTCTACGAAGGTGGGAGGAGGCCCACGAGGAAGGCCCGTGGGTTTAGAAGTCTCCGTGAGGCCCGCTCTGGTCTGGAACCTGGCCCTGACCCTCTCCCCGACCCCCAGGTCCTGATGCAACTGCCCTGAGGCCCCACTCCCCGGGCAGCGCCACCTGGTCAATGAAAGACAGGTGCCGCTGTATGGTGGCCTCGTAATGCTCCCTCTGCTGCCGCAGCTGCCGGCCCAGCTCCTTCTCCGTCTCTTTGACACGCCGCACGGTCAGGTCCCGCTGCTGTGCCTGCAGGGTGCGGGAGGAGCCACTCAGGGACAGGTGGGACGCTTGGGCAGGCGGGGGGGGGGGCGGAGGGGCCGTTACCAGCGCCCGCTGCAACAGCACCATCGCCTGCTTCTTCTCCTCCACCTCCAGCTGCAGCCGCATCGCCGACGTGCTGGCCTCAGACACCGGCCCTGAGCACCCCAGACCCTCCTCCGGCACGTGGCCCTGAGGACGCGGCTGCGTCAGGCAGGCCCTCATTGCCCAGTGGTGGCCGGCCTCCCTCCCTGAGGCCTCTCCACACCTGGGGGGCTGGGGCTGCCTGGCGCTGCCCAGACTCCTCTGTCTCATCCAGGAAGCGCAGGATGCTGCGCAGCTTGGCCTCTGAGAGCAGGGCCCCATCCTCGGGGGGGCTGGCGGCCACGCTGAGCCTCCCAAACCTCTCCAGGTTGTGGGCCGTCAGGGAGCTGGCATAGTCCTCCTGCAGGGGGTGGGGCGTGGCATTGGAGGCTGTGGGGGCAGCGGCGGACTCCAGGCCGGCCTTCCAGGGCCCCCCGGAGACTGGCCGAGGGGAGGGCCTCTCAGACTGCCCAGACCCTTGCAAGGGACTGACCGGGGACCACTGCTGGCAGAGACACGGTGCCCACTGCCACCCCCAGGTTACTCTGAGGGTCCTAACCTTCGTGAGCCCTCGGATGAGTAGGTAGTTCAACAAGGTCCCATCTGGCCCTCGTGAGGTCCTGACTCAAGCAGGGAGGACCCCTGGGGGCTTCCCAGGTCCCCACAGCAAGCCTGTGACCTGCATGGATGGTGCCAGGGCCCACGGTCACCTCGTCGGTCCAGGCGTATTTGTCCTTGCGATAGGCCCTAGGGCGGGGCAGCGGCTCTGGCTCCTGCTCCAGCAACTTCAGCGTGTCCAGCAGATCGTCCAGGGTTGCCCTGGACTTGACCCTGCCCTCAGTGGGGGCCACCACCTCCAGGATCTCACCAGCTGCCGTGTCCTGGGAGCTGGCATCCTGCAGCGGACGGATGGGAGGCTGAAGCCGGCGAGGCCATAAGAGGCAGAGACCACCAGCGAACAGTGGGTAGGCAGGGGCCCCGATCCTTCTGCTCGGGCGCCTGCCTGCCTGCTCACCCGCCTCCAGGGAGACGAGAAGGGACGCCAGGTGGGACGGCCTGGGCCCGGGCCCCTTGGCCCTTGGGCTGGATGCCATGGCCGGCATCTAACCTCTGCGCTTCTGTGTGGATCCCAACCCCGCATCCAAGAACACCCAGTGGGATTCCAGGGCAACTGTGAGACCCCAGCCCTGCATGGGAGCGACGAGACCTGTCTTGGTGAGCGTCCCTGTGGCCACGGCAGGGCACGAAAGGGCAGGCGCAGGCCACCCCAGCCTGGACATGCCCCGGAGCTGGGCAGGGAGGGCAGGGAGGGCCGTGCTGAGACCTGAGGCTTGTCCTCTGGAAACTGCTGGGGCTCCAGGGCTGTGTCGGGGGCAGGCTGGCAGGGGTCCTCTGGGCCTGCAGCGCGCAAGCCAGCCCCTGCACGAGGGAACACAGCGTCGGCCACCTGGGGCAACGACTGTGGAGGAGCCCCTGTGACAGGCCGGGGAGGGGCGGAGGCAGGGCCCGGGGTGGTGCACGCCACAGTGGACCTCATGGAGCAGGGGCTGCCTGGGGAGCCCTGACCTTCTGGGGTGAGAGGTCAGGGAGCTGGTGCAGTGCTCTGTAGGGCCCCCATGTCCAGCTCCAGAGCAAGCGGGGCCGGAGCGGAGGAGCAGGGCCTGGGGGTTGCTGAGAGCGAGGCCCCTCCTCCAGGGTGGACGCCATCAACAGGCAGCGGCCCAGGAGCCAGGAGATGTCAGCAGAGCCCGCACCTCCTCCTCGGCCACAGGCCTCCCTGGGGGAGGGGGGTGTGGGGGTCGGGCACGAGGGTGTCTGCCTTCGGGGATGGCAGTACCCAGGGGTCACCATACCCAGAGTGTCCACACTGGGGGGGTGTCGACACTGGGATGTCCACACACAGGCTGAGGCAGCGGTGGGCGGGCGGCAGGGCAGCCTCTGGGCTCTCAGCCACACTCACCGGCATTACTGGCCTTGCGGGTCTCCTGGGCAGTGCTCCCCGGGCTCAGGGGCAGCTCCTGGGTGGGCTGGGGCTTCCCTGTCTCCCTGGTCCCCTTCAGCAGCCCGAGGTCAGTGTCGCCTGACTTCTGCGCTCGCTTCTGCTGCAGTTCCTGCCGCAGGGAGCGCCTGTGAGCAGCCCTGCCCAGGGGGTAGCAGGCAGAGGGCGGCCCCTGGTCCTCCCCGAGCCTCGCTGCCCGAGGCCCCACATCCAGGAGCTCGGGGAAAGGGGCGGTGGGGCCCCCGGTGGTGCTC